AAATTTTGTACCAGATGAAAATTGTCTTACCCATTGCACACCCCTCCCCCAGGACCCACGCTAGAAAAAAATGAATGGCACTGTTTATTAGGTTCCAGGCTTACACTCCAGTGTTGGCAACTCCTTAGCTGGGCTAGACCGCGTGGAGCGTAAATAGCTTCAGCCCAGTGCAGTTCCGACCAAGGCCATGCCTCTCCTGCTCCAGTCCGCCAAACCCACACCTTTACCCGCTCTCTGTGGTTTAATGGAAGGACCTATAGAAGCTGAAAGGGCCTCGGCGCAGGCCCTGAAGTCCTTTATGCTGTCTGCCTTGTTGGGTGACAGAAGGGGAGCAGTTTCATCCTTATGCTTGCCTGTATGGTGGCCGGAACTGTGCTATGTGGGAGAGGGCTTTGGTGCTCGCTCTCACGGCCCAGGGAAGGGAGGAAAGACGGTACTTGGCACCTAAGTTCCAGCAAGTGAGGAGAGGTGGAGTTGAGCATCCTCAGAGGTGCTTATACTCAGAGCTCTGGTTTAAATCCCCTTCCTAGTTAACCTGCAACTTTGAAGAAACGTTAAATAAACCATCACACTTAAGAATAGGCATGTGGTAGGATCAGCAGGTGGCATAATTGTTAGGTCCCTTGACTCCTGGGTAGTTGACTGCGGTTCAAGTCCCAGACCTGGTGGCTTAAAGTGCATGTTGAGCATGTGTGTGTTCATGTCCAAAATCCCAAGAGGAGAATGTAGGAAAAGGGATTGTGGTGTGGCCGTCTCCTCTGGGGAGTGTTTTCTCACCATCTATCTCTGTCTCTGTCTCTGTAACAAGCACATGTGCTCTCTGGCAAACAACAACAAAACAAGCAAACAAACAACCCCCCCCCAAAAAAAAAAACCCAAAAAACTTCTCTTTCAGAAAAAGAGAAGTAGCTTGAGAAGCAGCCGCCATCCTTCCCCATGCGCTCACAGGGAGGCTCAAGGACCTCAGAAACGGAGCACAGGTTCCACATCGGTGCGTCTCTGCATCTGACCTACCACAGTCAGTTTTGCTGTGATGGTGTCAGTGGATTATCTTTTATTTAGAAGAATCTGTTCCCTTCATTGGGATAAACTATTGGGCTTTGGGCTTTTTACTTTTATTTGCTTAGCAACTGAGGAATGGCCTCGTAAAACAGCATGATGGACTATTAACACTGAGTTATAAGACCTGTTATTACAGAGTGTGTGTCCCTAGTTGAAACAAGACTTCCTTGTTTGCTGTCTAAAATCACTAGATTCTTCCAAATGAGGTTATAATGAATAGTGTAGGTTTTTACCTATCTTAATCAATAAGCTTACAATCTCTCACGTGACTTCTGCGCATCATTTGATAGTTCCAGGAAGGGTTTGGGGGAAGGTGCGTGTAATGTTCAGAATGGAGGCATTTAAGAATGAGAAGAAATACTGTTTCTGTCATACCTGTCTGAGACAGATTTGAGGTGACCACGAAAGGATTTACCCCACAATCTTTTGTCTAATTTGGAAATTGAGTACAGAAGAGTTCGTTGATCAAATATCCTTGAATTTGAAACTTTGTGGAACTGATTTTGAATGACAAAACATTTGACTGAATTGTATGGAAATTTGTACAGGAAACATTTAAAATCATGTGTTTATTTGCATTTGTGTGTTTATCCTTCTTTGTCCATGCTGCTAAACTTTTTGTGCGGTAAATTTTAGGCATAATTGAAGAATATATTAACATTTAAGGAACAAGTTATCATTCTAAATAGGGATTTCTTTTCCTCCTGTCGTACGGCAAAGTTAGATGTCGGTAGCAAATGCTAAGGAATGAAAGTAGACATTGTGTTATTTTGCGTATGTAATCAGTTCATTTACTCTGTGGGGAAATGGAGTCTGCCTTTCAGGCAGACTGTCCGAGGTGTCATGGGTACGTCAGGAAGCAGGAAAGCCCGGGGTCGCACAGGGACAGACGCCCGTATGCAGCAAGTCAAACTCAAGTGGAAGCAGTGATGAGGGAGGGAATGCGAGCGCGAGCTTGCCGGGGAGATGGCAGAATCCGAAATCGCAGTCGTGGTGGTGTAGGTCGTTAACCTTTGTCTACTCCCTTGGATTAACTGTGGTGAACATCGTTTTGATCTTAATGAAAGGGGAGAGCTTTTTTATGATGAGTAATTATAGGCCCTCCTCTTCGGACTTCACCTTCTGTGTTGCTGATTACCTCAAAGGTAATGATACCCAGTTTTTGTTTGGCATTTTCACCTTCCGAAACGATCTTACTTCATCCTCAGAAAGATCCCTGGGGGTAGAGCTGTTACTGTTACTCAGAACGCCTTTAAGATTTACAGCCAAGTGGCAGACCCGAGGCAAGACGGGGTATGTTCTCATGGCCGCTGAGAGACTCTGAGTTCTGATCTCGGAGTTCAGGCTACTTCCTGCCCTGGTCCTGCCCCTCCTCGGGGCCCGCCATAGGAGCGCAGCTCTCTGTAATTAGCATGATTTGCCTTCAGCCGGCCTCCCGACGGGCTCTGAAATTGCTGACTTGTTATGTTACAGGTGGTTTTTATGATCCTGAGTCTTATTTAAAAAATGGTTGTTTTCTTGCAGGAAGCGCGTTGAGGGAAACTCTCCATGAATGTATGTCACAATGATGATGACCGACCAGATCCCTCTGGAGCTGCCGCCGTTGCTGAACGGAGAGGTAGCCATGATGCCTCACCTGGTGAATGGGGACGCGGCTCAGCAGGTGGGTGTCACGGCAGGGAGTCAAAGGCGCAGTGTTGACTGACTGCGGAACTCGGCGGTCTGTGACTTTGGGCCTGAGTGTTTCTAGGCGTAGGTGTGTTTGCTGTAGAATGACTGTATGTGTGTATACGGATGTACATGCTACTCTCTGTATGTGTATGTATGCATATACAGAAATTGTGCCTTTTGGGCCAGCAGGTGGCAGGGAGTGTAACTGTTGGGTCCCACACGGCTGACCATGTGGCTTGCGTCCCTGGACCCAGCGACTCGAAATCACGCTTGGAGCATTTGTGTGCATGCCCAAAACCCTGAGAGGAGAGTGGAATGGCCGAGTGACCTTCTCCCCGGAGGTGATCTCTCACTTCCCTCCCTCCCTGTCTGTCTCTCTCCAGCAAGCACACATACCCTATAGTGGGGCGGGGGGAGGAAATTGTGGTTTTTGAGAAGAGCAAATGTTACCTCTCTCAGTTAGCATTCTTAAAGCATCAGAGAAATGTGTGACTTCTGAAATGAGTCATTTTCTGAGTACGTGGAAGTCTTTGGAATAAAATGGCTGCTTACTCACACCACGCACTGTCCTTGAGTGGGAGGCTCCTCTGGCCCGGGCGTCCGGTTTTGATTTTCTGCAGGTGGGACCTTGACGAAATGCACAGGTCAGTGTGAACCCAGCCCAGTCCTGGACAGTCGTTCCAAGTGTGTAGTTCAGAAAACGAACAGGCTTAGTTCTGGCGGAACTCCTCTGCTGCTAGTTCCTTAAGATTCCAGAATGGAAAAGTGACCTCTGAACTCAGGTAATACTGAGCGAAGCAATTTAAACAGCAAGGACACTTACAACCGTGAATACGGACTGAACCGTTATCTGACGATATTAATTACTGGAAATTTTTAATTGATTACAAACGCTGGGTTTGGTGTCTTGTAACTAAATATTTTGTCTTTGTGCATTTGTTTTGGAGCCTAAGTCTTTATGTTTTATGAAACGTAGAATCAGGAACAATAGTTTGAAAAACATTTGCTCCAAGTATATTAACAGTTAAAATACATTAATTAGTCATTTCCCTGATATCAGTCCACACTTCTCGCCCCCAATCTGTTTATTAACGCTTGGTGTACGCCTCTGGTGGATCTTCACTTGCCGTGTAATATATCATTTATATTACTTTCTGTTGCATTACATGGTGGGCCACTTACCAACCAAGACCACAATCACTTATTTAATAGGTGCTCGATAAATATTTGTCAGTTGAATAAATTTCATCTCTTCTCACCACTGATGTAGCTATCTCCCTTCTCGCTTCTTAATCTTATCTACGGCATCATTTTCACCAACGTGGTGTAAAATCTTCTGTGTTAAACATGTACGTAAACAACTACACTTCTGGACCAGCAGATAGCGAAATAGTTACGTCGCTGGACTCCCATGTAGTCAACTGCAGTTCAAGTCCCAGACCTGGTGGCTAAAAACTCACACGTGTGCATGCTGCTCAAAATCCCAAGAGGAGAATGGAGGAGAAGGGGTTACAGTGTGGCCATCCCTCCTGGGGAGTGATTGCTCGCTTTCTATCTCTCTGTCTCTCCAGCAAGTGCACATACCCTATAGCAAATATCTCTCTTAAAAAAACAAACAAAACAACTACACTTCTTCCCACGCAACAAATCAACCCCCCCTCACTTGCTTCCCCCTCTCCAGCTGCCACCTCCATCTCTCTGTTTTTAACTTTGTTGTTCATCTTTTTCATGAGAGAGAGAGAGAGACAGTACCCACCGCAGGGCCCCCGTGCTGGGATCTGCCCTCATGCCCAGGCAGCTCTGGACCTCGGTCACATGAGACAGAGACGCTGGGGCTTGAACCTGGGACCTCCATGTGGAAGCATGTCATGGAGCATGGCACTCTACAGCTGCTCCGCTGTCCAGCCCCTCAGTCCCTTATAGCAGGCCGTCTCAACCCCGTGGCCGCCGCCGCCCCGCCTCCTCGTCCTCCTCCAGCTCCGCCCTCTCATTCCTTTTCTACCCTGTTGGCAGATGCTGCTCTCTCGGGGTGTTCGCCAAGTCCCCGTTTCGCCGCGTCTTCCTATTCCCTTTACCACTGCCGAGCTGTAGGCTGGCATCCACGAGGGTGGGTAGTTCTCACAGGTCTCTGCTTTTCCTTTTCCTTTTTTTAAATTTTTAATTCAGGAGGGTGTGTCTGCACACATTTCTCCCAAACCCCCACCAGGGCTGGGTTGCACTGTGACCCTTCATTCCACTAATTCTCTATCTTGCCAGGATTCTGGGTATAAGCACACGTGAGCCCCAGTGTGTTTTTGAAACTGATGGGGCTGGGACTTGAACCCCGGTTGGACCTGTGGGATCCAGCTTCCTCTGTGCAGTGCTTAATGGCAGCACCACGAGGCTGGTTCTGCTTTTACTTCTGCCGCCGTGGAAGACATTCTCCATATCGCAGCCGGGCTGATCTTTTCAAGATACGGCTGGGGGGTGGCAGTGTCCGCTTCCAGCCCCCCTC